TAACCCGTTAATAATCCAACTATGTATACAGCTCAATTGGAATAGACTAGTCCGATTGAGGCCATTCATAATACAATTTCTATCCAATTGAACGAGTTGGGTAATCCTGTAATTAATCTGTTAAATAGAAGAATAATAACCATGTAAACGCTTGTATCCGATTACATTCCCAGTTGGAAAGTTTAAGCAGAAACTGGTCTGCACAGGAAACGATAAGTTCTGAACTTTAAAAGAAGGGCGTCCAGCTTATGTGTCTCAGAACATGACGTCTTCCTCTTGCTGCTTTCTTAATACATGTGAAGTAGATTTTTCTGCCATAATTTTGAAGCAATTAAAAACACAAGCGCCAGCTGTAAACTCGCCTCACCCTGACTGGACCTCACGTAATGTTCGCTGTCATGGTAACATTTACACTAAGTGGTAATCTATGCATGTGGGTCATTTTGGATCTGATTACATGTAGTGTGCATGTAAACAGAGATTTTCTATCAGATTGTTGATTAGAGTGAGCATATAAACGCCAGAGTCTTAATATAATCGGAATGTGTTCAATCGGATTGGCAAAACTCTTTGCATGTAAACACAGCCACTGTCTGTGCAGTCACTATGACAAGAAAACTGCATCTGTTCTTTACGATCGCTGCCGTCTATTTGTAGTGGAAGCACTGCCGCCGTCCTATCTGGGTGAATAAAACCATTCAAGCCCATGCCAAGTACGGTACGTGTATCACCGGCTGGTGCAGGAACTGCGGCTTGATGAGGCCAGATTCCAGCAGTATTTCAGGCTGGACAGAGCACAGTTTGACATGCTGCTGCTGAAGGTGGAATCCCCAATAGCAAAGCTTGATACCAATTACCAACGAGCCATTTTTCCAACTGAATGGCTTGCAATCTGTTTACGTGTATACGTCCATACTGACACACTCGCTACAGCTTTTGTAGTTTTTACCCCATCACAAGAGGTAAAATCAGTGTTAGATTTAAGACAAAATGTAAACAATCAGATGATCCCGATGCCTGCCCTTAGCGATGGCATCACCCCCATAATGCCCCCTCGTAGGGCCAGGCCTGACCTACTCTTTCAGATGCAATACATTGGCAGATATATGATAAACAGAAGTGGGTGGTGATCTTCATTTAGGCTGTCAACCTTCATTTAGTCAATACACCCAATAAAGAAAGATTCAACAGTCCTGTTAATCACAAAATGTCATCCTTCACTTCATACTTTGTCCAGTGCTTAGAATGTGTCACGCAGATCCTTGACCTTTTGTTCAGACAAGTAGTGACTATTGTTGTAGATGTTAATTAGTGTTCTTTCAGTAAGGGTTTCAAGGGTTACTGTGAGATTGCATTACTGTGAGATTGCATTCTGGGTATTTTTAAAGTCTGGTGAGGGCACACGATCTCTCTGGGATGAAACAAAAACTCACGTCTCTTAGAATGAACTTTAATTATCTGTTCAGTATGGCTCACTTTTGTGTTGGCAGCTGTCTTCATTTGCATGATCACCATTACAGTTTTTTAAAAGTTACTTTTAATCGCTCTATAGACCGTGCCTGAAGAGCTAGCGATTATTATTCCTGTCCAGATGAGAGCCATGCCCTTCTTTTGCTCCATTTTACTCTGCAAACCCGTGAGCTTAAAAGCAAACTTTGAAATTAGCATTATGCTCTTAACAGTCGTGCTTTTATTGTAGCACAGAACTGTGACTGAGAATGGCAACTTGAAATGTAATTATCTGGAAACAGATGCAGCAGCCAAGTTTAAAAATGGCTGTGCATCATTTAACATCATTAGTCACAGTTATCACCAGTGATGACAAAAGCTTGGTGTAATTCATTAATTATTTCTCATTTGTAGCTCGTTGAAATGAGCAGAGATTTTTCGCCATGTTTATCATTGTCAAAAGAAACAAATGGAAAAGGCCAAAGTACAGAATTGTACCTGACATTACAGAGGGTAAATCAAACGTAAAAGGTAATTCACTGCATAACTATGTAATTATAATGTAATTACATGACAATAGCAAAACAAAAGTAATAACTCTCGCTTGCTACATGCATTAGCATACCCAGTGAGAGAAGAGGATGCGAGTGAGCATTTATATTTCTGAATCAGAATCATACAGTACTAATTAGGCCTGATGGAGAACACTTAAAACCATGTTCGTTTTGACCCCATCACCCAGAGAACAACTGGCTCAAGTCTAATGAGGATTCATTTGGGTATAATTCATTTAGGCTCCCTTTCACTTCCGTCAGGCAGCGCAGACGCCCGGATAATGACCACAGATAAATCTCAGGGAGAAGAAAGTGAAAAAAAACAACACACATGGAACAAATTGAGGATCATTTTCAATTTCCTCTCCAAAATATCAAGCACTGTGGAACATTAAAAAAACACATTTTATTTCCTGTTTTTCTAGTGCATGTTTAGTGCCTACTCCTTCAAATTGCCATTTGATGGTGGAATTGAGTGGGGGAGCAGGCTTCAGCAGAATGTCAGCAGTAATCTCAGCGGCTCAGCGGGGTTGGAGGGCGAAATGAATCAGAGGAGAATTGGAGTAGACAGACAGACCTCCTGCCTCCAGACCATTACCACTTCAACCCTAGCTTTATAAACCACTATTATACCGCCCTACCACATGCACTGCTTTCAAACACTATGGCTGACCTACAGCAATAACTGATTTTATTCACAGTTTGGTCAAATCAGAGTTTGATACCTGGCTCATCTCGCCGTTTAGCAACAGTACAGTGTCCTATAAATTTCAGCTTACAGGCATGCTGTATCATCAGTGGCCTAATGTTGCCAGTAATACCAACTTGGGTTCATTTTAGATGGACAAGAAGCAAAATGCATCCACTTACAGGTCTTTTATTCCAGCTAGCTCAAAGCATAACAGGTGGTATCATAGACGCCTGATCAGTAGTGAAAGTGGAGGGGTGAGGGGTGTTTAATTATATAGGGATGAACTAATATAACCAGTACAGTGCTACATTTAGTCTTTATGTTATTGTAGTGTCCTGCTGCAGAAAGCATAGATTGAGATAATGTTAACAAGCTAAATGTTTATTTACATGTCTATAAGCTACATGAACAAAATGTTAATAGCCACTTTTTCCTTATAATCAGTTACTAACTGGAGAGACATACTAACCAAAATGAAATATGTTTGTAATCACTGCTGCTGAATCACAAATCAGTAGAAGCTTATTTTTAGCAGGAGGAGGAAAACATCACAATCTTTTCTTTCTTTCTCTTTCTCTGTTTACGACAACAGTCAGTGTTGTCATATGTATCTTTGATTTATAATCTCAAAATAAACACTTATTATCCCAAAATAATCACTGACACTCTAAATGTATTAACTTATTAATACATCATAGGATGGTGGAATTTAAACACAGTCAAAACTTACATATTAGATGGAATCAGTCAAAATCTTCAGAAAATAAGCCATTATTTCAAAATATTCAGTCAACATTTTGAGAAAATAAGTAATTATTTCTACATACTCATTCAAAATCTTCAGAAAATAAACCATTATTTCAACGTAATCAGTCAATATCTTGAGTAAGTAAGTTAGTAATTCTATATAATCAGTCAAAATCATGAGAAAATAAGCCATTATTTCAACATAATCAGTCAAAATCTTGAGAAAGAATACATACTACATAGGTTACAGGTACTACTCCTCAAAGGCTTCGGGAAGCTTTTCAGAGTGATTTTATTTAGCAAACTTTAAGGGCCTCTATATGGGCCTACAACCATAGGTTCTCAAACTTTTATCTCATGGCTCACCAGGGTGGTGGGGGGCTGAAGGGTTGGGGGTAAGGGTTTGCATAAAAAAAGATCTTTTATTTCTCAGATGCTGACACAGAAAACCTGAGAATTATGACCTGAACAACAGTTTAAAGATCAGATTGTCCGTTTGAGTTCACAGAAACCAGCATTTCATCTTAAAAACTGAAAATTATGGTGTAAAATAGTATTGTGTATATAGCTTTATAGTTCTAGCTCTCACTATGTGTTGCCCATTGTTGAGGATATAATAATGATAGTCCAAGGATAATAAAACAAATTAATTAATGCATTTAAAAAAACAATACGAAGACTATATATACATATACTACATGTATATATAGTCTTATATATACATATAGTATATACTACAATTAAGTCTTTTTTTAAGATTAAAGTCAAACTTTTGACAATGTTGACAGTAAGAGAGGGCTGTTTTTTCTCTCCTCTCTGGTGGGAACAGACTTCTGAATCAGTCTGCTCTTCTACATTGCAGCGTGCCTTAAATGTCACAGCAAACAGTGAGGCATTTTCACTGACCTCCTTGTGTGGAAAAAGTGAAGTCTGAGAGAATTACACAAAAATAGTTATTACATAGTTATTTACAATGGAATGAGCAAAAGCACATACTCCATTTGCATACTGATTTAATCCTTAGAAACTGACAGTTATTACTTCCATTTAGTTATAGTGTTTATAGTGTTTATGTAAATACATATGTATTTACATAGTGAGTTGCATAAACAATTACATTTGCAAGCTAAATGTTATACAAAAGAATGATGGTTTTCTTTTCACCAAAAAGGCGGTTCACACAACAATGTCTTAATAAAATAATAATAATAGTGATAAAATGTCTCCTCCTCTACTTACAAACATACAGTGTTAATTAAAAGTTTACTTTTAACAGAATCTGTTTGGCTGTTTCAGTGAATTACAAACAAAATAATGTGTTTGTTGTCGCTGGTTTTAAATGTGACTGCTAAGGGTTAATGTAGTTTTAGTAGAAGTGGGGCACGACTACATCTACACATCTTATTTATTTATTTATAAATCACACCCAGAAACAATGATGAGTAATGATGCTCAAAGAACTGGAATCTAGATAATCCTGCAGCTTGTATTTCAGGCACCTGTTTGTCCACCTGCTGTGTTCATTACTCATCGCCCTCCTCTCCTTCTGTCTTGGTCAGTTTGTTGCCCAGCCAAACTGTCAGCAGCTGCTGGCCTCACGCTGGTATGACGAGTTCCCGGGCTGGCGGAGGCGTCACTGGGCTGGAAAGTTCATCACCTGCGTCTTCATCGGCCTCCTCTTCCCCGTGCTCTCCCTCTGCTACCTGGTGGCTCCCAAGAGCCGCTACGGCCTCTTCATCCGCAAGCCCTTCATCAAGTTCATCTGCCACACAGCCTCCTACCTGACCTTCCTCTTCCTCCTGCTGCTGGCATCCCAGCACATCGTCTCCACCGACCCCAACCGGCAGGGCCCAATGCCCACCACTGTGGAGTGGATGATCCTGCCCTGGGTCTTAGGTATGGCCTTTTCTCAGTCTGCGGATTTGAGGTTCAAATCAAGGGTGGCGAAAGTAAAGAAAAATGAGATTACATACTACATAGGTTACAGGTACTACTCCTCAAAGGCTTCGGGAAGCTTTTCAGAGTGATTTTATTTAGCAAACTTTAAGGGCCTCTATATGGGCCTACAACCATAGGTTCTCAAACTTTTACCTCATGGCTCACCAGGGTGGTGGGGGGCTGAAGCGTTGGGGGTAAGGGTTTGCATAAAAAAAGATCTTTTATTTCTCAGATGCTGACACAGAAAACCTGAGAATTATGACCTGAACAACAGTTTAAAGATCAGATTGTCCGTTTGAGTTCATAGAAACCAGCATTTCATCTTATAAACTGAAAATTATGGTGTAAAATAGTATTGTGTATATAGCTTTATAGTTCTAGCTCTCACTATGTGTTGCCCATTGTTGAGGATATAATAATGATAGTCCAAGGATAATAAAACAAATTAATTAATGCATTTAAAAAAACAATAAGAAGACTATATATACATATACTACATGTATATATAGTCTTATATATACATATAGTATATACTACAATTAAAATTAAATCATAATTATTATTAAAAACAGTGCTGACCCAGCAACTTTGCATTCTACCTTTTGAAAGCAAATGAAAGTAAGGTAAAGATGTTTCTCTGTCTCAACTTGATCAGAACATTATGCTCTAAAACACATGTTCATTAACTGGTTACTAAATGAGGAGAGCAAAGCAGTCACCTGTTTTTTCCACGCTGTCTAACCTTAATTCAAACTAAAACAAGCATTTCCTTACTGTCAAGACTACTAGTGGTGTAACAAAACACAAATTCATAATTCAATTCAAAACGACACAGTGGGCTTGATTTAATACATCTTTTATACTGCAAATTATGGAGTGCCTGAAAATGCACCTGTGAACTTGTGTAAACCTAACAAGTGGTAAAGTAAGTTAACATTAGCCTAGCTAGCTACCAATAGCATGCTAGCTTACCTAGCACAACATAAACCAACATAAGATAAAGCAGGAGATATTCACGTTACTTCATGGATTTTTTGCCATACATGTCATTATATAGCAGTTTATCCTTTTTCTATGTAAGTATCTGCTGCTACGATAATGCAAATTTCAGCTTGCTGTGGGAGTTTTTATGGGTTTGCAGTGTCATTTTAGCACCAAGCTAACAGTGATGCACATTCACTTTCCCACATTGAGTTTAAACACTTTTCTGAGCTTGCATGATGTGCAACACATTTACTTTTTATTGCAGTTTTTCAGTGAATCCTTTAGTAAATACTTCAAATTTAAAACCTAACTATGAGTAATAGTATTATATGGTTATATTATATAGTATTATAGTAGCCTGTTAGCCCCTTAACCTAGCTTTTTGAAGCTGTTTGTATTTTTGAAAACTGATTTTATTTTTTTTGTAGTACATTTTATTTAACATGCCATTGAACTGTAACATTAAAACACATATCTATATAGAAAGCAATTATTATTAGGTAAAATTTACTTTCTATACCAAGGCAACATGGACAGCGTATAAACTGACAGCAAACCCAGCTTTAGCCTTTAACTGTTCTACAGAAGTCTGGTGTAGGATTTAAAGAGAGAACTGTGGGGCTCATGGTAACGTATGAACCCTCCTCAGGCTTTCATTTGTTATTCTGGAGCTGCATAAAGCAAAACATCTTCCTATGGGGCTCACTTATTTATGGAAACCATGTGTTCAGGTACATGTGAGCGATATGCCTATTAGAGTCTGACTTGATTCACGTTTGATCACCGCCCCAGTAACACATATCTTTCGCATGCATCGTCTGGCTACTTCAATAGGTTTCATCTGGACGGAGATCAAACAGATGTGGGATGGAGGCTTTCAGGACTATATCCATGACTGGTGGAACCTTATGGACTTTGTTATGAACTCACTTTACTTGGCAACCATTTCACTCAAGATAGTTGCGTATGTGAAGGTACGTTACAGCAGTCACTTAGTGGTGGAGAGTGTACTCAAAACCTGTACTATGGTGGAAGTACAATGAGCCGCACTTGCAAATGCTTCTATTTTTGCATTCCTGCGCAGTAGATTACGAGTAGATTACCAGCATGTCGGAACACAAGCTTCAGTGGACGGGATAAGGCTCAAAAAATGTCTGAGCGTTTTGTACAAAGGCCTTAAAAGATAATTCCAGTGATTTTATTGCATAGTTCTGTAATTGGGATTAGTAAAGTCACTCAGTGTGGTCTGATGAGAAATGGTGCATTGTTGATAAACTCACCGACTCAGATTTCTTTACAGTGGTGGTGATAGGAACCAGGGGTCATGATGTCGACAACCATTTTATTTACTATCCAAAATGACTAGTGAACCCATGCAGGTCTTCTGAGTTTTATGTGTAAAGTTAATAACAGTAAAACAGTGAAAAGTCTGAAAATATAAGTTTTGTTTGGGGACTATTTTTCCCTAAAAATGTCTCAGACATCGAGCAGCATATTTGATACCATTTCATGTAATAACTTTGTGCTAGGTTGCTTTACGAGATATTAAATGATTCAGACGTCTGGTTCCTATCACCACCACTGCGGACAATTCTGACTTGGTAAGTTTCTCTAGAACAGCAATTTACATCAAAGCACTCTGAATGACACTGTTTACATATTAAGCATTTAATTATGCAGAAACAGGGAAAATCAATGGACTTCCCCTTTATCATGTTTCAGTCTGAATATTTCTTTTTCATTTTATTTGTTGCAAATTTTCAAATTAGATTTTCAAAATTCTAAAACTTTCTGTTTCTGTGATACACTTTTCCAAGTATATATTGGGTATTGTCAGTATGTCTGGAACAATGAAAACGGCTTGTATCATAAAAATGATAGTAAAGTCTGCAAACAATGTTATACAGTGTATAGCAACTGTATAAACTGAATAGTAACAAGTAGCTGAATGGATGTCAGCCCATTATTTCATTGTCTCATTTTAATCATTGATTTTTTCCAATTGTTTGATGTTTATCCTTCTGTTCCTTCTTAGTTTGTTTTTGCAAACTTAATTAAAAGAAAAGTTGTACTCATAGTTTTTCATAGGCCTTTTTTAAATGTAGCCCTGTTGTTTTACTGGTGCACTGTGTCTGTTCTGCCCACACCAGTACAGCGGATGTAAACCCAGGGAGAGCTGGGAGATGTGGCACCCCACGCTGGTGGCCGAGGCTGTGTTTGCCATCGCTAACATCTTCAGCTCCTTGCGCCTCATCTCCCTCTTCACGGCCAATTCTCACCTGGGCCCTCTGCAGATCTCTCTGGGCCGAATGCTGCTGGACATCCTCAAGTTCCTCTTCATCTACTGCCTAGTGCTGCTAGCCTTCGCCAACGGCCTCAACCAGCTCTACTTCTACTACGAGACCAAAGAGGACCGGAATTGCAAGGGCATCCGCTGCGAACGACAGAATAACGCTTTTTCAACGTTAGTATAAGTAGCTGTCTGCTAAAGCTCTTCGACATTGCTGTTACTGCTACTGAAAACAAAAGCATGTTACCATTTTATTTGGGATGACAAGGATATTGTGTTTATAAGTTATTAACACACACACACACACACATTTTCTAAGCTGCTAATCCTTCTGGGTCGGTGCTGGAGCCTATCCCAGCGGTCAATGGGCAGAAGACAGGAAACACCCTGGACAGATCGCCAGTCCATTGCAGAAGTTATTAACAGCACAACTTTTTTTTTTTTTCATCTTGCTAGTTTAACCTTTTGAACTACCCATGTTACCCAGCTGCAGCACAATGTATGTTGCCTTGATAGAGTCAGATTTTGATTGTAGCCCTCTTGTTCAAAAACAGCTTTTAAATGGCTTTTGAAGCGATAACTTCAACACCTTTAGCAGACTGTGTAAGACAGTGCTGGCAGGAGACCTATGGATAAATTAATAAGCAGCAAACTAACAAAAGCAATAGCTCCAGTTCCCCTGAAGCAAGAGCAAGAGCCTATATGTATAAATGAAAATTTGAAAATGTGAGAATGGTGATTTTCAGGTTCAGGTTTATGTGAACTCTGCATTCACAAGATTAAAATAATATTACTTAATTACAGAAAGTAATAAATACTTTTTGATGAAGATAATTATGGTTTATTTTGTCCTCTAAAATAAACGGCTTTTAAATGAAGAAAAGATTTTTAGGGCCAAATTTAAGCAAATAATACAAACGTGATTAATCACAATTAACTACACAAACTAATGGGATTAATTGAGATTAATTATTTTAACAGTTTGACAGCACTAAAATGTATATCATTTATTTCTCAGCCATAGCTCATTAAAGGCTGAAGAAAGTCTGTTGAAAGAAACATTTGTTTTTTTGTAATTAGAGAAAGACAAGAGGAAAAAAAAGATATGAACCAAAGCCATCTTTTACATTTTTGCTATGTTTGTTATTGATATAGAAAAATAGAAAAATGTTGCTATAGACTTTAAAACAAATGTAAATGTAATTCATTAGGTTACAAACTATGTAATTAATTATGTAAAAATCTAACTCCATATGCAGTTGGATGGTCACCTCTGGTCAAATGACATGTTTTGTTGATTTTGTGAAGTGAAAATAAGTGAACACATCCTCTACAGAGAACACACTTACACATGACATTTTTCTGCTAATTCTAGTGCACAGCTTCTATGTATTTGCTGAGTTTAACATATTGTAAAAAGTAAATATTAAATGTGCCATAACTTTTGCACAGGCCACATTTTGTTTTACTTTGCCCCATTATGTTAAATTCAGCAAATGGACAGTAATTGTTTGCACATTAAAGTGTGCAGATGGTGCTTTGTGCATTAAAGTCTGCAGAATTTTGTGTGTTGTGCATTACGGTGCATTAAATGTGATAAAATTGTATCTGTAGAGGACGTGTTAACTTATTTTCACTTCAACAAAACATGTCATTTGACCAGCGGTGCCCAAACTTTGGATTTCAACTGTGAATGTTACAGCAAAACAACAGTAATAACTCTAGATTTGTAGGGGTTAAAGAGCCACTGCATAACTGATGATTTACTTAGACTGTGCTTATTTCCTAACTGTTTCTCTCTTTGTACTCGTAGCTTGTTTGAGACTTTGCAGTCTTTGTTCTGGTCCATATTCGGGCTGATCAGTCTGTATGTCACCAACGTTCAAGCGGACCATAAGTTCACAGAGTTTGTGGGAGCCACCATGTTTGGCACCTATAACGTCATCTCTCTAGTGGTTCTCCTCAACATGCTCATCGCCATGATGAACAACTCCTATCAGCACATCGCTGTAAGTGCTGTCTGAGACAGCCAAGCACAGACAAAGCACTCATAATTTATCATTACATTTATGTTATTACTTTATGCCTGTGAATTACGTGAGTTTATATTGATTGAGCATTGTGATTTATCACTCTTGCGCACCTGCATTGTTTAGGATCACGCTGACATAGAGTGGAAGTTTGCCAGGACTAAACTGTGGATGAGTTATTTTGAAGAAGGAGGAACACTGCCAGCACCTTTCAACATTATCCCCAGCCCCAAGTCCATATGGTACTTCATTACCTGGATTAAGATACACATTTTCAAACTAAAGTCAAAGAGGACAGAGACGTTTGGAGCGTTAGGGGTGAGTTTTCTTCAAACGTGTTTGCTATCTTCCATGTTTGCTGTCTTTTTTTTAACCGAATAACTCCATAATGCTCATTAAACAATAGCTGCTGAAAGTCAAATAGACTGTAAGTGATTACTTGCTTTTATTCACCAGAATAACCTTAATTTAATTCCCAGTGCCCTTCTGCGCAATTTGTATCATATGATGTGCGTCATGAGAGGCCGTCAGAAACCTGCTGCTGTAATTTGATGTAGGTCATTGTAGGTAAGAGTTGTTCTTTGTTAACCTTAAAGAAATTAGTTTATTTTTTAGATCAACCCTTAAATATCCATAAAAAGTTCACTTATGGCATTGTGTGGTCTCATGTTCCAAAAACAGTCATAGTTTATTTGTACATGACAATTTTCTCTCTATATCCTAAGAATTAAACAGGCTGGTGTTGTTACTGCAGATTTAAGATTGATGTACATTACATGGCCAAAAGTATGTGGACACCTATATATCGCACGCATATGAGCTTGTTGGACATCCCATTCCAAAACCATGCGCACTAATGTGGAGTTGGAAGGCCTGGCTCGCACATTGCCATCCCAAAGGTGTTCAGTGGAGTTGAGGTCAGGGCTCTGCAGGTACATGGGATTGAGTTGGTGGTGCTGAAATGTTGTGCAGCACATATTGCTGTTGTCGGAAAAAACCTTGTAACTTTACAGTAAAAGAAAAAAAAACCTACTTTACTTTTATTGTAGGTCAGTGGAACCAGATGTTTTTCCAAGTCATTTTGGGTCTTTTCTTTTGGTCCATTCTTAATAAAATTTACACACAATGTAAAAGGAAACAGGCAGTGTCAAACTATGCCAAAAACTGAAAAACAACAAACATAGAGATACAAGGTTTTCTTCAGACAGCAGCGATATATAACATGCCTGATGTTACGCAAAATGATTTGCCTTTTTTGCCTTCCTAATTTTTACATCAATGGAATGTGTCATACAGTGCTATAATGAGGCGAGAGATGACAATATATATATATATATATCTATGTGACACAGCAAACCACTGCTCTCTCATTCTGGACAAACTTTACACAACTGAGCTGAGCAGAGACCAATCAGATTGTTGATTTGTGGTGTGGTAACCAACTGTGTCACACCCACAGTCACACATTGAGCGGGAGACACAGCTGTCATTATTGTCATTGACATTATTATTATGTTAGATATTTTTTTAAGGTAAAATCAATTTTAGGCTGCTTTGGTGCTCACAACTGACCTATAACTCTACATAAAGTTTTCCTATGTGGATGTCAACCAGCACATGTTTAGGAATGCATCTTCAAAGCAGCCAGCTGTTTTCAGCTTAATGTAATGAGAATATGGCGTTCACCTAAACAAAGCAGGGCTATTGCAGATTTTGAAAATATAAAAATACAAACTCATTATTATTTTTATCTATATTATTTTTAACCGTTACAATCCAGAAATCAGGGGGTGCTGCAGCCTCCTCAGCACCCTCACTTCCCGCTGGAACTAAGAGGCTCAATAATTCATGCATTCATATAACTCAATAATTAGGAGGGTATTCACATAATTTTGGCCATATAGTGTACGTAAATGAGATCTGTTCTGACTGGCTGCCCTGTAATGTGCCTCGTTCAAAAAGCGGTCTGTCTGAAATTCACCCTATAACTTCAGCCTGGAATAGGCGGGCTGCTATAGGCTGAATAGGCAGACATGACATCACATAAACAATGAATTTGAAATATATGGACTGTATGGATTGGAGAGTAAATTATGTATTTTGGAACTTTAGCAGTGTTTATATACTACATCGTTATTATTATAACAGTGCGGAAAATTTAGTTTTTTCTTTGGCTTTTTCTCAATCGACACACCTAAAATAATGGCGCCAATAAAGGGGGTTAGTTTTTTAAAGACCCACTGAATTGAAAAGTTTTTTAGAGAACCAGAAGTGTTTTTCTATCACATTACCGCCTTTATTTTTAAGAGCAGGAAATCAATGTGCAGACTTGGTTTGAACATCATACTCTTTTATAAAAAGGAAAAAAGATTGCGATGCAATAGAAGAACCACTTTCGGTTCTCTAAAGAACACTTTTCTCTCTATTAAAAAATTTAAAAAGCACTCAAAGCTGAAACAGTCCTTATAACTTCAGTGTGAAGGGGCGGGGCTAAACTGCAGTAGGTGGAATAGGTAGATATATGTAAATTGTAAGTTAGTTCTTGTGACATCACAGAAGCAATTAACTGAAAATTCAATGTAAAAGGTCCTCCACCAATTTAAGGGTTCTCCCTAGAACCTTTGCATTAGGTGGAGGGTCTTAAAACTTAAAAACAATTGTCAAACTCAAACATCTCATTTACAGAAATTATTCTCTAAAGAACCCCTCACTGAAAGGTTCTTCTGGGAACCAAAAGTGGCTCTTCTGTGGAACTGCGGAAAGAACTCTTTAGCATCTTTATGTTTTAGTGGAGCAAAGCTAAAAAATTTTAAGATTTTTATTTTACTTATGTTACAAACAGCTTTTAAAGGGAGAAATTGCATCAATAGGAATATAAATCATACTTCATTCACATTTTATTGTTACTCAAAGCAAAAATAAGTGCTTACGGATCTGAAATGTGCTCTGAATGAGCTTATTGCTTACGCGGAATAAATCACAGTGCATCTAACAGTAAACAAGGCCTTGTGCATCTTTTCCACATAGAAAGCTCCAATACCACATGCTGATGTTACTGTGATCAATGCAAATACACGCTGTAACTCAACTGGTGGCTGATTTATACAAGTTAAATCACCAAAGTTTTTGAACATATGGCCAGCAAGATGTTCGGTTTAATCGGGCTGTCATCACCAAAAGCTGGAGGCTCTAAAGGCTTTACAAATGTTTAGGCCTTACAAACACAAAAGGCTGGATTTGCTCATTGGACAATTCCCCAAAAAAAGATAAAAGCAAGACAAACAAGTCACTAAGCAGATGATTCAAGTGCAAAAATGCACTTGATGCACTGCTCACAGCTGGAGTCTGACAGCTCTACATAATGAAGATGACTGTGCAGGCTGATGGGAAATGATCAGTTATCAGCTTCTCTCAGGGGTGAAATCCCTTCTGCTAAAAGCTACTACATCCACATTTACTCCATAAGAGACCTGTATGGGAATCATTGGTGTTATATACTGTTTCAATGCCCTAATTATTTTTTCTAATGTTTTTCTCTTAGAGAAGAGCTGCTGAGAAAGTGAGACTCAGCCACCAGTATCAGGTTTGTTGAAATCCACACTTCAACTGAAAGAACAAGCTGAAATATTTCACAGTTAATCCTGAATGACTGTGAATCACCTGCAGCTAAAGCATATGTGAATTCCTTGTTGTTGCACCTCTGTAAGTGTCTGCTATCGACACCTGTGTCTGTGTGCAGGAGGTGTTGAGAAACCTGGTGAAAAGATACGTAGCAGCCATGATCCGAGACGCCAAGACCAAAGAGGGGCTCACAGAAGAAAACTTCAAGGTAATGAAAGTGTTTTCAGTTTTGTCTCTGTCAGTTATAAAGATATGAACTGAACTGAAATTCCAATTAAAAAGTGAAAATGGAAACTGACATGCTATCCTGAAACTGTCTTATATTTATTTATTTTTCACATAATTTCTGAATATGATCCCACACCAACCAGACTGTAACTGTGAGTGACAGAACAGTGTTAATATTGCAGCAGGAGAGCATTAGGATGGGATGATGCATGATAGACTTTTAATTACTCTTTATTATATTAAGAAATGCTGTTAACTTGTGTTCAAGGCAACACAGATGGGTTTATTAACAGCATGCAGAAACGAAACCATTACATGGTCTCTTTTTTGTTTGTTTTCTAAGGAAAAATAAGTGATCACGTCCTCTACACGTTTGCAAAATTATAGCACATTTTATATTTTATGCTCGCCCTCCAATACAACCATTAACCTTTTCAACTCCTTGGGACCACCGGTGGTTCCAAAATGCACTTTGTCATATTCTTCATAACTTTCACATTTCATAAGCTACATTCAAAAGGTGGGTGTCATATGAGAGCTGTAACTGTCTTCTTTCCAGCCAAATAGACAGGTAATGTAATTTTAAACCCTTATGATAAAAGAAATTTTTTTTGCTTACTAAAAGTTGACCCATTTTTCCACAAATCTGGACTATAAACTGTACTCTTCAGTGATCTGCTCTATAAAAATTATTTTTATAAAAATACAAAGAGTGTCTAAGATTTTTGGCTTTCAGCAGTAAATTGTAAGCATATAGCAGTATGTGTATGATCATAAAACATGTTCTGTTAATTTGAGGGGAGCATTTACAAAAAATAAATAAATAAATAAAATAAAAAATGACATTTATTTCATGCAGTTACTGAATAATTTGCCTTACAATTTGGGCACATCAATTCAGATGGAAAAACCAAAATATACCCTGGAGAATAAGAGGTTAAAATGTTAAAGTTAGCAAATAAATAAAAATTGTGCACTAAAGTATGCAGAAAATTGGATATTTAAGAGTTCCCTGTAGGGGATGTGTTACCCTATTTTCACTTAGAAAATCAACAAAGCATGTAATTTGATAAGGGGTGTTTAAACTTGCACAACTATATCTATTTGGAGATCTATATGGAAGCTCATTCCATAGGTGGAAGAGAAAGAAATCATGGTAGTATGTGAAAATATTGCTTTAGTATCTCTAAATACTGACTTAGCATCTCATAATATTGACTAATATCCTAAAATAATTACTAAAACTCATTTTTGACGTGGTATCTCAAACTCTGGGGAAAATTTGTCATTATTTCAAGATACTAGTTAAATATTTCAAAAAAAAAAAAAGTGACTGTTTTGAGATATTAATGTTTTCTCTCCATGGAGTCTCCCTATGTCTTCTTTCTATCAATAAGTAAAACTCAGAGTTCAATTTCATCTTGACCAAACTGTTATTTTTCAAATACGAGTTTGCCTGCCACTGACCAATCAAAAGTGACCACATGTTAGAAGCATATTCCAACCTGTACAGTAGTGTCAGCAGGTATCTCATGGTCTCTGCAATGCTGATGCTGAAAACAGCTGTCCATTTGAGGTGGAATATAGAGCTACTTCCCTTCTCCAATAAATTTACTGTTTTGGAGTTGCAAAATTTTCTTATATAACAGTTTATTAACTTTATTCATTAAATTGGTGTAAATTTCAACACCTGACATATTAGGTATGTGGATTCATGATGATGTAAGCACTCCAGCCAGACACGAGTTTGTACAGACATGCCTAAGCTATAAAGAAATAGCTGAATAATGAAAGTTCTCGTGACGTTCACACATACTCCGATTTTGTCCCACAAACTGGTCATGGCTCTGTTTCTTAACCCTCTCCAGGAGCTGAAGCAGGACATCTCCAGCTTCCGCTATGAGGTTCTAGGGATGCTGAAGGCAAAGCAAACATGTGTGCCTGGTCCTAAGATGGTGACATCGACATCAAACACTTCATACCCAGACCATTTGCTCCAGTGCTCCACAGCCCTGCTTCAGAAGAACAAGCCAAGCCTGCTGGAGGTCAGCACTGAACTGCTGGGGCCTCCAAGCAGCCTTCTCAACGGTTCTGTGATGACCGCCAAAGATCTGGCCAGAAAGGACTACCCCCAGGATTTATCTGACTTCGGCCTCTTCCAAAAGCCTCAACAGGGAACGAACAGTCATTCCAGCACAAACATCATCTACTCAGTCTTAGAAGAGGCTGGAGATTTGGATATTGACCAATCTGATTGCAGCACAGAGGAGAAGCACAAACAACCATTGACTGAGAAGCACATAGAGGAGGAGGAGTCAACGTGCCTGTCTGAGGAAGAAGAAGAGGAGGAAGAGGTGGAGGACCCAGAGCGAGAGCCAATTGCATCTCCAAATGCAGTCCAGCTCTGCTCTCTTTCACCCACTGACACATAACTTGAAGTTACTTGATGAACAAGTTCACCTTTTAAGGTCAAAAATAGACCAATCTTCACTTTCGTACACTGAGGTGAGGAATGGCTGAGCTGTGTCTTTGAACCGGCATCTGAGGATAGATGTCCTTCTAAAGTCTCAGGGAAAGACTGTGTGGAATTAATCAGCTGTACTTAATGGACAAAGAATGAATAACATTCACCTTCTGGACCAGCAGCGATACTTTATGCATGTATCTCTGCAGAGAAAAAAAAAGAACAGTATAAGCAGCCCGATTGGTGCAGTAAACTTGTTTTTGTAATATTATTACTTTTTACTAGGCTTCACTGTGTAATCATACACTCATAGTCGCTCCTCAATGGCTTTTCATCTTTCTGGGTAACTGAATAGTTACAGTCAGGCAAAAAGAATTCCAGGTTCAGGCAATAATCTCTCTTCCATCAACCATTACATGATAACATTTAGGGCTGTCAGTTGTTTACATAATGAAGTAATTGGAGTTTTTTTTTTTAAAGGCCAAACAATACAAATTGACCAAAATAATGAATAACAAAGAGTTAAAATATTTTGCTGTAAAATGATAAAAAAGGAAGACTTCATTAACCACTTGAAATTCCAGGCTTATGACGACTTGATTTTTGAGGTGAATCTAGCCAACTATGAAGGAAATAACATTCTGCAGATGTTGATATACAGTTACTTTATATTCAATGAACTTAAGGGGGGTTGAATACCTTATGGGCTTTACGGAAGCATATGCTAATGGAATATGCTTATGGAGGCATATTAGTATCAAAATTTAAATGCAATCAAAATTTTAAATGTATCAAAATTTAAAATGCAATATGTAAAATGGCAACGTATTGGTATGTGTGCATTTAAATGTTGAGCTCAAAGTGAAAATTCCCATTCAATACTGCAAATTTGCCATTTGGTGTATTAGTATTGACATTTTAGTTACACAAAGATTTTCATGCTTTATGAGTAGCTTTATTTAAATTAAAATTTATTTCCAGAACTGCATATTTATGCTTAATATGATTATGCAATAATTGTGTCATATATGAGTGACACACAATTGAAATTTTAAATAATAATTAAAATGTAATTCATTTTAGATGCATTTTCACTCTCTAATAATGCACTTAACTTGCATTTTCAAAGAGAACACCAAGCCAGAAAGTGGTCAAAATTCAAATGTAAATGAGAAACAGCACTTCTCCTCTTGGCAATTACACATTCTCACCTACACTGCTTATTGCTGTGGGCTTTTGACCAGATTTCATTTTCATGGTCTTCCCAACCTGTCAGTCATTCTATCAGGACGGGGCCAACAATACGCTTAGCAGAAAAGGCATTATCTTAAAAAATGGCAGCCCATCTGTCTTTAGAAGATGGAGCAAAACAGTAAAATATAATTTTGTTTGATGGCGATTACTTTGTCTTTATACACGACCCACAAAGAATCTTTAATTGAAAATGTGGCAGATTTTTCTGTTTTAATCAGTTGGTCAAAATTATTGTCCATGTGAGCAGTCCGTGGGCTACAGATGACAGAGATTCATCCAGCATCAAGCAACTTTAACTTACACAGTGAGCTTAAGATGTGGGTGTACTGCTGTGTTACACTTCATGTATTACCTAGAATGTACTCATAAAATGATCTAGCTGTAATTGTACTGGAACACACAGACATGTATAAATCACACAACCACCTTGTCATAGTGGCTGAGTTGGCAACAGCCGCTGTATCGTGTCAGTATCGTGTCAAATTTCAACCGCAATTGGCTAGGGGGTCTCTAATGCTCTGCTTTCCTATTTAAACATTAATATTAGAAAAACCACTGGTATATACACATGTGACACAGCGAGCTGGATCATGTTAGCCAGCTGGCTTTGTTTGGGAATGTGGCGTTAGCTAGCATTAAGAATGGCTTTTAGCTAGCTTAATTCTGAAGCCCTCCACAATGCACGTACCATAATAGCAGGTGAGCTGATGGCAGAGCAATACATCCACCTCTGACGCTCATTTTGTAGAAGGTATATCTGTATGTCATGCCTCTTTTTCAGCCACTGTTCTCAGTTTATGAAACAAAACTCAAGTTAGCTCTGTTTCCAGTTTTCCATTCCAACTTAAACAGTGCTGCTGTAACACTGGGGTGAAGTGAGGCACCAGAATGTAACTGCTGCACTGTTTAAGGTGCGCTGTAAAATTTGAAAAAGAAGCTGGCAAGTAGGAAGCCAAGTGCAGCCTCAATGTTATCTGATTTTCCAGATTGATAAAGCAGAAAACTTGGCAACAAGTTCGATTAAGCACTTTCTCATGGGTCGTGTATAAAGACATTAAGCATCACATGTGGCTATATATCTCTTTTTCCCCTCATCTGCTAACGTAAGAGTAGCTATAAACTCTTCAGCTGCCATGTTTTCAGATAAAGCCTTTTCCACTGCAGGTGCTGTTGGCCTTGCCCTGACAGGTTGGGAAGACCATGGAAATGAAAATGCAATCTGGTCAAATGCTTTTAGCAGTATGTGAGAATACGTAAATACAAAGAAGAGAGGTGCTGTTTCCCATTTACATTTGAATTTTGCCCTCTTTCTAGCTTGGGGTTCTCTTTGATAAGGCAGTTTAAATGCATTATTAGAGAGTGAAAATGCATATAAGATAATTAAAATGTAATTCATCATTTTGACAAAATGATTGCATTATCACATTGAGCATAAATATGCAGTGCTGGAAATACATATTAATTCAATAAAGCTACTCATAAAGCATCTAATCTTTGTGTAAATTAAATGTCAATATTAGAACACCAAATGGCAAATTAAAATTGCATATTGAATTTGAATTTTCATTTTGCACTCAACATTGCATATATGAGTGGGAAATGTGAATGCAAACATACAAATACATTGCCATTTTACATATCACATTTTCATTTTAGTTTTGATACTGATATGCTTCCATAAGGGTTTTACAGCATTTATCTGAGAGTTTTCTTCACCTTCCAGATCTTCCCTTGTCATCCACTGGTTCCCCCTTATACTTCTAATAGCCATAATCAACAATGGAAATTGCAAGCTGGTCTGATATATTTTTATAGGCCTCTCCTGCTTTGTAGGCACCAATTTGCTTCGTTTTCAGATCCTCAGGCCATGGTTGCTGAGTGGTAGCACAAGTCTTGAAATTTCACTCTGGAAATGTCATCAGCTGACAGTTCCTAATGATAATTCTTGACTTGCCTGACCAGTCCTAATAAGTTGGTTAAGGCCTAACGAGTTACTTTCTTAAGTTCTGAGACTTTACAACTGGAAGGATGTTCAAACTTTTGCACATGCCACAATTACTATTTTAATTTTTTAGTTAATCAAATATATTTGCAGACAAATGTTTTTTTTTAAGGTAGCTTGCTGCAAAGGCTGTATTTAGAACTTTTCACTTCAAAAATCAACACAATTAGGGGTTGCACAGACTAGTCAACTATACTGCTCTGCATTGACGCTTTAAGCTTGATGGCGACTAGTTGGTGATCCTGTTTTTATGATCCTAACAACAAGGAAGCTTCACAAGAGACAACAGGTGAGGAGCCTGGTGATTTTGGGGTCCGTATCTGTGGTTCCCTGAAGGGTAATAATGCGATCCAGGGCTCATTGGAAGGGGCACATCATGCTCTACTGACCTAAGGAGTTTGGCCTCGTTCTAACATTTCTCCACCGATCCCCATGCTTCAAAGATCAGATATTGAATGTCATTATCTCCAGCTTCCCAAAGACTACAATAAAAGCCATGTGTCGCTGGAGAAAGGGAATATTATGGGCAGTTATGGCACTTTAAATTTCTCTTTTTGAAAGTTTTTGCATGTAAAAACACCATATATCATTAAGATAAATACAAATAAACAAATACAGTGAAAACGTAACAAGAATTGTTTTTTTCAAAAAAGTAGTTGACATTCTGAGATTTGATGATTTTTAATTCTATCACGACTGACCTAATGACATTATTCTGAAGTATAATGAAGATTCAGTGCGGCCATGTTAGATTATGCAGTTCACTGTCGTATAGCTCACTTTCTAAGCAATAGCTGAACTCAAAGAAAATTATTTTCACTGCTGCCTGTCCTTCAACGTCTGGCTTTTTTGCACCTTATTCTATATTACTTTATTATTGATCATTAACCAAGCACTGTGCACAAGTCAGAGACCCCTTTTATTTCTTTAATTTCCAGTCTAAATGGCCATTAACTATAGGTTTAAAAAAAAAAAAAAACAGAAAAGATGCATTTAATAGACAATTACATAGAAGGCTTAACCACTCGAATGATTAAATCAACCACAAATATTTACTTTAGTTTATGTAGTTAATTGTGAATAATCACATTTGTCTAATTTGCACTAACATCATACTAATGAAAAAAAAAAAGTTTTGTTTTAGCTGTCTCAGTGGACAAAGTAACCTTTATCAAGATGTATTTACTGTCTCTATTTATTGTGAATGCAAGGTGCCCCTGAAAATTATATGAACATTTCCAGTTTTCATCACTGACCTCCAGTGAGATCAACAGTGGCTGCATGTTCCATACTGAAGATTCAGATCAAAGCCTCTCACTCTCACATTGCTACATTACGCCTTGTTTCGAGGGGAACTTTACACTTTGCTGTTTTGTTAGTTTGCTGATTGATCCCTAATTCTCTCGTGAGCAAATTAATGGCATGGTAGTAGCTGTACATAACCTGCATCAAGAGAGCCATCAATGGAAGCTGCCATTTGAAAGCTGTATAGAAACGAGAGGGATACAGTTGCAGAGTCAGCACACATGCAGCTGGGTTTCAGGCTGGAACTACAGATGGTTCGAAGGGTCAAAATAGGAAAATGCATTAACAGCATTAAAACAATTCGTATTGTTAATAATGTTTTATGTTCACTTTGACAGCCCAATATAATATCACATTATTCAGCTTCCACACTTTTTTGGAGACTTGCTTTCACCTTTTCAAAAAAATCTTGAAGAATATTGTTCCACACCTCAGTCTTAGAAGTTGGTTTAGCTTTCTTTGCATCTCACCATCCAAGTAATCCCAAACACATTCAGTGATGTTGAGGTCTGGACTCTCCATCATCAGCAGCTTCTTAGTTTTATTTGCAAATTTTCTTCTTTTCTCAGAGTTTGTCAGCCACACGTTCTCTCAGACTCAGTGTTCAGTTGTCTTCTCACAGTGGAAGAGCGGACAAACACACCTGTGGATTTTTTTTAGATCTGAATCAAAAGCGGAGCTTGATTTTCTCCTCTTTCTCAAAGATAAAGCGTTCCCCTTCCTTAGGCTGGTGGATGATCTTATATCTAATTTCTTCATAAACATCTTTTGAAAGATCAATAACTTGTAGTTAACAGGCATTTTGACTGGAACTGAAATAAATGAAGAGTCGTCTCTGACTTGAGCCCAGTATTGTATATAATGACAGAACAAACTTGATGCATATTTAGTTTGTTAAACTAT